AGCTAACCCAGCAGTGAAACCTCAGGAGTGTGCTCCTTAAAGGCCATTTTCTCTGCTTTTCTTTATTTCTCTTTCATATATTAACCACAAATAATCCACAGTCTTTAAGCCAGCCTCACAAGAAGCCACCAGCAAACGTTTAAAGCATCTCAACAAGGTTTCCAAGAAAGTCCTGAATAAAGTTGTCTTTGAATGATGAACAATTTAGTATCTTTTTTCTTTTTTATTTTACCTGCTGTCTTCTGTTGGTGTGAATTAACTGCAATTCCAAATTTAAGAAATCAGGAAATGTAGCAGAAGGAATGGCTGCATTTTTTTAAGATAGCTTGTTTTAATTGAATAAATGCATTGCTTCGTTAGACCGAGAAAGGTCAAGTAATGACAAACTGTGTGTCCAGCAGAGTAACTGGATATTAGTGTTTTTTATAGGCTACTCTCATTGAATATAGAGAAATATCTTTCTTGAAAATTAAAAAAAAATCCTAATATGTCTTTGTACTTAAGTCCTTTCAATTTGGCAAGAAGGAAAACAAAAACCCCATGAAATGGATTAACATTGAGAAAATTGTTACCAACAGATTTAGTGCTTTTGACGGTAAAAATCTGGGGACTCAGTGACCATTATATTAATACTCTCATTTGGATTTAGATGAAACTCACAAGCTTAATTACATATATGCATATATGTAAAAGTTCTTTTTTTATTTTGGAACTATTTTTGATAGTATACATTTAAGTTTCTGGGTTACATGTAAATGATCCAATGTTGATAATATTAGAAAGAGTAATAGGAGGTTTTGAATATCTCAAAAAGGGCTCTGCTCCTTATATACCTCATCTATCTTTCAAGGAATCTTTCCGTGTTCTATGTTACATGTTATACATGCTATAGAGATTTTCATGTGGTTATAGGTTTTGTCTGGGTGTATAAATTACTGTGAAGATAGTCAAGTATGGGAATAGACAAAAGGAAGGCAAAGTAATTCACTTCAAATCCAGAAAAATTTTACAATGCTGAAAAGTAAGTAGAAGCAGATGTTGTAAAGTTTAGAAAATCAAGACATTATTTTTCTTTTTCCATTGAATTTTAAAAAAAGATTATAAATAAGCTTTGAAGTAATACAAAATCCTCTGTTTGTTTTGCTGATAGCATCTTTTGTAAAAAAAAAAACTTATCAATGCATGTTTAAGTTATAAACTAAATGATATCTCAGTGTAGTGAAAGAACTGACTGTATCTGCTGATAAATTCAGTGCCGCAGTGCTGAAATTACTTAAAATGTCTGAGTTACTTAGCTCTCTACTTGATTAGATCTTTGAGGTTTAATGTTAAACAGCTTAAATATTTTGTGCTATAAGAACATAAATATGAAATTATAATATTTCATTATTTACATGTCCTATTCTTAACTTTGTTTTTCTTAGAGATTTTATTTTTCTCTCTAATAGAAGGATCTTGCTTTATTAGTCTTTTAATTACTCTGGAGAGAATGACAAAGTTTAAAAAATAAGACTATCCATACTGTATCTTTACCCATTCTTATTCCCTAAATCAGACTCAATGTGGTTTCTAAATATGAAGGCTATTTAAGATGAACATCTTTCTGCAGTTTTGTTTCTAAAAATTAATATCCAAAGAGTTCAAGGGAGATTTCATTGCCAGAGCAAGGTGTTTGCTAGCTCAGGGAGGAAAAGGATCTACTCTAGGGCAAGTGCCATCCTTACAAACTCCTGCTGTAAGCTCCTCCTCATCATCATGTGGAGTCACTGAATGTCTTCCAGCTGTTCAAGAATGTCCCAAGCTCACAATGACATCCATGCTGAGGATATTTTCAGGATCTAAGCCAATTCTGGAATTACTGCTGCTAAAATATGGAACAAGGGAAATTGGCTCATATCAACGGCATAAGCCATCATCTGTCTGTTATTATATTCATTCAGCTGAGTCACATATGACTCAATAATCAAATTACCACCCTATATATCTTAAATCTGTACATTCCCTCAACTATCATGTGGACATGGGAAAATGAAGATAATCTAGGATGTCATCTGTTTTGTTTCTTTTACATGTGTATTTTTTCTGCATACTTAGTAAAAGTTTATGTAAAAATTGAAAGCTATATAATATGGGATGTTAATGTCCTCAATGAATTCCCCCCGGGCACTTCTATACTGTTAACATTTTGGAGTGAATAAATTATTTCTTAATAATAAGTGGAATGTTCTATTAATACCATACTAATATATTTATGGCACTTTAAAATTAAGTGAAAAAGTTCCTGGATCTATTAATATAAAATTTCAAAGGCAAACAAAATTTAAATGAAGGAAAGAAAGCAATCTGTTTTTCTGTTATGTATGCCTCAAATTCTTCAAAAAGCATTTGAAATCACTTACAATAAAACCAAAGCCAGAGGAAGTATGACCAAGAGCCATTCAAAAAGTATAACCCCAGGAAAGAGGGGAGGAATATTTGGAAAACAGAGGACATGTTAAATCAAGAGGTGTTATTGGTGGAAAACATATCATTTGAAAAAAATACTGCATAAAGTTTCAAAACAATCTTCATAGTTTTTATTTGGGTGCAAAAAGAATCCAGTTTCTTTGAAAGGATTTGCATAGAAACCTTTATCAAGGGTTAAAAAATGACCTTCATAGAGGCCAGGTAATTGAGAATGCTGCTTTTAGGCAAGGGCAGTACCTCTCATGACTCTGTGTTTCCAAGACGTAGTATCATATTTTCCAATATTTTTGTTATAATAATGAATGAAGCAGTGAGTAACGAATATACTCCCTAGCAGTTTATAATGTAGATATGTTTCGTGAATTCCACCTATGATTTTTTCTTTGCATATGTAAAATTCTGATGGTTTTATGTATCAGTTAAAATAAATTTAATAAAAGAAATAAGTATAAGTTGCTATAAATAAAAAAGATATGAATAGGTACTGTAACCAAGAAGGTATGTGAAAGTTTAGAAAACACATGATAATATGCTCATACTATTATTAAGAAAATTTAAATTAAACTCACAAATATATATATATATATATATATATATATATATATATACGTAGTACAATGGCTATACGAAAAATGTCAGACATCAAGAGTCAGAGCGCTTATAGCAAAACTGGAGTCATGTAATTACCTTCCAATAATCCTACCTCTAAGCACATGAGCCTTCTGGGTCTTTTTTGATTCATACCCTAACATAAGGGTTCTTGAAGAGAGAGTGAGTGACATATATGATCCTATTGAATGTCAGAATTTCAGGCAGAATTTAACAGTGACAGGATGACAATATAAAATTGAGGTTAGTAGCAGATATCTGAAGAACAAGCACTCTTTGCTTGATACTAAAGAAGAGATACACATTGTAGCATTAGATGGCATCTTTCAGTGTAAAACATAATGTATTGGCTGGGTCTGATGGCTCACGCCTGTAATCCCAGCACTTGGGAGGCTTAGGTAGGAGGATTGCTGTGAGTTCAAGGTCAGCCTGTGCTACAAAGTAAGTTCAAGACTTGCCTGAACTGTATAATGAAACTGTCTCAAAAAGACAAAAATAAATAAATGAATAAATAGACATATAAACAAACCAGTGTATCAGTGTGCCATAGCTGATACACTGAAAGATATAGCTGAAAAGAGGTTAATGGGAGAAATATCCATGTAGTTGGACAGATTTAAGCAACTGACAAACAGGATGCAATACTTGGACTGAGACCAATGGGAAATCTTTACCACCTGTGGTCACAGATGAAGCATAGCTGGAGAGAATACTGCTTTTATAAGGTCTGATCTTATTGAGAGACGCAAAGCTCAAAATCATGTCTGGATAAGTAAGAAGGAACTGGAGAAATAGATACACAACCCTGTCTCACCTGCTGCATTTGAATTCTTATGGGTGCTTCTTATCCACTAAACCTGACTGAAAGGCAGAAGGCAAGTGGGAACACAGTTGATGAAGTCCTTAAGAATCAGCCTTCTGGAATAATGCCAGCTGAAAGGGTAGAGAGTGGGTCTGGGGGGACCTTCTTTAAGGATGTCTAGTATAACTGAGGATCCTGATTTCTAATTCTGTCAAGATGAAACTATCTCATTTTCATTCAACAATGGTGTAAGTTGTCTGTTACAAAATACAGAAAACATAGTTCCAGCCCCAGACAAGTAGCAAGTCTTTATGAACAGTATATTTTTAATTGTAGAATCATATGGCTTTTCATTTTAATAAATTTAGTTTGTTATTGTTGGTAATATCACAAAAAGCAGACAGTATTTGTGTTTGTGTATGAAATATTATGGAGTTAGAGTGAGGTCTTTCTTTTTTCCTTATTTTCTCAAGTAAGGTTTTACCTGGCCAACTTGGCCAGACATGAGTATTTCTTCTGGGGACACAGAGACTGGTTTTAGAGAGGATTGATGAGATCCTTTTTGGGCCTCTTTCTGGGGATTTTGTATCTCAGACACACACAAAAAGTTTTCTTTTATGTAAAAGAAGGACAGAAGGTTTTTTGACAATGTGTGCTAAGGGTACAGGAGTCTGGAGAAGTTATTAAGTTCCGTGGTAAATCAAGGAGAGTCAGAGGATGCTAGCTTGTGTTAGGACCACATAGACAGATTAGCATTTTATCTTGAAGTGGTGCCAGAGTGCCTGTGGCAGAACATTAAACCTGGGCACAAGACAAAAGAACATATTTGTTTGAGGAGTGAGGTGATAGAGAGCCTGTGAAGCATGGTCAGGCTAGAGTGGATGAACTTCAGAGATACCTTGTCCCATGGCCACTGAATTGCATAAATATGTGCAATTTACTAGTGTTGCTATTATTTTAGGAATTTAAAGATGATTTGTCTGATAGTGGTTGTGCTGTCTGTATATCATGCATAGGTGACTAAGGGGACTATTTCATAACCAGCTGAGGATTTGTAATCTTTGCATTAAGCTATATCCCCAGCTCTTTTAAAATTGTTGTTTTTTTGTTTTGTTTTTTTTAGACAGGGGTCCACTAAGTTGCTAAATTGCCCAGGCTGGGCTAGAATTTGTGGTCCTCCTGCCTGAGCATCCCAGAGTTGGGATTACAGGTGAGTGCCACCATACCCAGCTACCAATAGTTCTGTGAAGCCTACTAGATTATTTTCTGACTTTTTATTGAGTGGTATTACTAGAAATTGTTCTTAGTATTCTTTCTTTTTTGTTTATGGTCAACTAGAAGACTTACTTTAACTAAAACTTTGCCCACTATATACTTCTAAGTGTAGGGTGTTACCTAACAGTGATGGAATGTCTCAACATTTACTGATTAGAAGCTACCTCTGGAACGGAATGAAAATATCTGTAAATTAGAGAATGGGCTGGATCTCATTATTACATGATACACATTAATTTGCAGACAAAATCTGTACTTTCCACAACAAGTTCTGGATGACAAAGCGCTGTCAGAATATGAGATAAATGCAATGGAAACACTATCTCATAGCCTTCAAGATGTATCCTCCCTCAGGATCTCTGAAATCATGTTGTATTTGCCAATTTGCCAATGGGTAACTATGCCTTAAAACAAATTAATAGCAATTTCTTCTTTAGTGGCACATAGTAATGACAGTAGCATCTTAGAGTTGAAAAGACACAGAGTAGTTAAAAATATAACTAGATATTTCGTTAGTTTATCTTGAATAACCATTATGTACCTCTGGAACTACAATTCAAGAAAGCTGAAACCTAGTTAACTGCAATCTGACCTGAATATGTACCAAATAGATTTTGTCTCATTTTTCAACTACAGTTGATTTGTAATGATTACCAAAATACTATGTTAAGAAACATTCTGAAACTGCATTCTAGTTCAGGGCTGGTTCCATTTATAAGATCTTCAATGGGTGAGGGGATCTAAATATGGCTGAATGTGAGCCAAGCATTTTCCTCTTTCCTATAAAGTAATTGAACAAGAATTGTCTCTACACGTTTATGCTAAAAACATAATTGGAAATTGATAACTAATAACTTTACCCAACACTGCCTAGATCTCTGAAAAATAGTATCTGATGGGCACAGTGGTCTACTAATAACACTGATGTATCATATTCTACAGTAGGATTAATTTAGCATGTTTTTCCATTTTCATCAATACCATGTAAACATCTTTGCTCTGATCCTATGCTTGCCAAGAAACCTTCTGAGTTAGCTTTCAAGGGGATTTATGCCCTTGAAGGGCTGTTGGATATTTTATAAATGAGTAATCCCTTTGGAACCCTGGTTTAAAGTGAGTACAAATGGACAAATACCCTCGTATAGCTCCCTTTTCCTTTCAGTATGGCCTCTGTACTTTAACTTGTCTCCCAAAGTTATTTGAAAATTACGTTTTCAAATAATAGCAGTTTTCCAGGGCCCAGGAACACTGAAGTGGCAACTTGTCCCATGAGGAAGACAGCCCGAGACTGAGAGGAGGTGAATGTGACAAGGTCTTCTTGCTTCTCACCTCCACACCCTGTCTTCACTGACAAGCACCTTCCTGATTCTGGTATATGTGGTGATTCCACAAGTATCTTAATCATTTCCAGGCTTGCTTCGAAATAGTTTTAGAATAAACAGTCTCTCTTTGTACCTCATTATGCCTTGCACCAGGAACATGGTGTACAATCCTGGTTAGCAATCCTCAATGAAGACTTGATTAAAGTGAGAGGGTCCAGAGAAAGTTAATTAACATAAGCAGAAAATAGGCTCCTGGATTAATTAATGTGCTTCAATTGGCAAATTAATTCATTAAATTTGTTTTCTGAAAGCTGTTTGAAAAGCAGGGGCTATATGAAAGGAAGAAGACTGAGGAAGGAATATGAATAAAATCTATAAAATTATGAAAACTGTTTTATTCTTTATTCAGCCCTGATATGCTAAGACTTAGGGTACTCTCAGAAGGTTAAATTGAGGTTTACAATGAATAGAAACTTGTGCAATGCATTATTCCAGGATGTGGTACAGATTGAAAACATACATAGATTTATTAAAAGTTTAGATAAGCTCATGGATGACAGATTGGAAAAGCAGTGACATTTTGGTGTGTATGCGCCTGACTCTTAAAGGGAATCAGACCTTCTCTGCTATTGTAAATCCTTTGTTGTGCCGATCTAAAAAAGTGACTGGACACGCGCAGGGTATATGTTAGTCCATTGCCAAAACTGAAGAGAAAACTGGATCTATTGAATGATTTGGATTCCAAAGATGTGTATAAAATAACTGACCATGAATGCTGGTCCACTGGCATGGTGAAGCTCTGGGCAGGGTGTACCTTACCCAGCAGGCCCATCTAAACTTTGTGACCAGAGGAGCCTTAACAGTAATGTGCATGTGTTGAGCACAGGCAGAATCAGAGTGTATAGCTCTCTCTTTCATAGACCACCATGTTACTTGTGTCAAGTTTTTTTTTGTGTGTGCAAAGTACCCAGTTTTGTCTGCAAATTAATGTGTAATAAATGAGACCCAGCCATATACATAAAAAACAGAAATAAAAGTTTCTTTTAAATTATATCCTTTTAAAATGTTCCTGGAAAAGGGCCTCTATTCTTTTATTTAAAGCAAAACTGGAAATGTGGTAGAAATAGTTTCATAGTAATTTTTTTTACAAATAAATTTTATTGGCATTCTTTGTTGTCTCTCCCAGTATGAATTAGTTCCTTGCATGATTTACTTCTGTTTTCAACGAACAAGACTGAAACTAATTTAAATTAAAACAGCCTGCAACTCTATTAGGATGCATGTGGCGCTGTTTCTTACCTCCTATCTTCACTGATGATAATAATTTACTTTTTTCTTTCACCAATATGTTGGCATGTTTTTAAAGGACATCTCCACATGTGTTCACAAACATATTTGTACACACATGAGGAATAGAAACATAAAATTATGAGAAACATAATCTATTATTACCACAGAAACTCTGCAATATATCACAGCCAAATTATGCTTAGTTCTTTCTCACATGAGATAGATAATTCAGATAGATGCTCTTAAAAGTCATACCCCCTGTATCATTGAATATAATAATTAGTGTATGCTAATTTGCTGATACTACATTTTAATGCACTGAATCATAAAATAGTGTACCTTACTATTTTGGGAGAAATACAATTTCATTATTTAGCTTATAAGTTTTGGGAAAAATACAATATAAGGTTATACTTACACATCCTTTTCTGCCATAATATTTCCTCGTGATTTTCCTTATATATGTTCCACAGGATGTACACATCAGATATTAATAAGAAATCAGTGCCTGTACTATGCATTCTTCAATGGAGCAGTACCTATTTTAGCTAACCATAAAAGAAATTACACAGAATTACCAACATTGGGCAATATTTTCCCATGTATGTGGCTAAAATAATTTTAATTCATTAACACAATTGAAGGACAACTACATTTTGATACCAAGTGATTTCCATGAAGCTATGTGATATAATCACCCTAAATGTATTAATATCAAAAAATACAACCAAAATTGAGATGGAATAACGTGTATAACTCTAAAATATCCATTTGGTGAATATCTGCTCTAAGTAAAATCATCATATCTGGGAGTCCTAGATACATATGAATTGCCAAAACTGAATCGAGAGGATATAAAAATTCTAAATAAACCAATAAATCAGTCAATGAAATTGAAGATGTAGTAGAAAACTTACCAACAAGTAAAATCTGAGGTCCTGATTGTTTCACTGCTGAATTTTAGAGAAGATCTAAAGAAAGAAATTTAGAGAAGATCTAAAGCCACTAATGCTGAAATTCTTTAATGAAATTGAAAGAGAACTAGTACTCCCAGATTGATTCCTGGAAGCAAGTATTACTTGTTACCAAAAGCAAAGAAGCACCGAACCAAAAAAAAACAACAAAACAAAACAAACAAACAAACAAAAACCTACAGAGCAACCTTCTAATGAACACAGATACAAAAATCCTCAATAAGAGAGTAGCAAACAGAATGCAGCAAATCACCAAGAAGATTATACACCAGGAGCAAGTAGTATTCATGCCAGGGATGCAGAGATAGATTCACATATGCAAATCAATAAGTGATATTAACAGAGACAAGGACAAAGAAAACATGGTTATCTCTATCCAACACTCATTCATGACAAAAACATTACAGGAAATTAGAATAGATGGTCTCTACCTCAATCTGACAAAAGCCCTCTATGACAGATTAACAGCCAACATCATACTAACTGGACAAAAACTGAAAACTTTCATTCCAACATCAGGAATAAGACAAGGATATCCACTATCACCTCTCCTATTCAATCTAGTCCTGGAAACATTAGCCAGAGCAATTAGACATGAGAAAGAAAGAAAATGAATAAGGATAAGAAAAGAAGATGCTGTCATTATTTTCAGATGATATAGTACTCTATATGAAAGGCCCCAAAATCTCCACTAAAAGACTTGTATATTTAATAACCAAATTCAGTAGTGTAGCTGGACACACTTCATAACATCTATTGTAGTTTTTAGTCCTTATTTACTCTTTCAGTTTCTCATATCAAGGAGACAATGCCTGTTTTTAAGATAAAATGGAAACAAAGCATTGTAAATAGGGAAAGAGGAGTTGGGAGGAGAGGGGATTAGGAAAAAGGAATCACAATATGTCATGTATGGTTATAAATTCCCTATGGTGAATATTATCATGTGTATCTAAAATGTATTAATAAACTTTAAAAAAAGATAAAATAAAAAATTTCAGTACTGTCAAAAGGGAGATCAAAGATGATATGAAAAATGGACAAATATTGCTTACTTATAAATCAACATAGTGAAAATGGCCACACTCCCAAAATTGTTATACAGATTTAATAAAATCCCAAACAAAATATCAACAACCTACCTCATATAACAGAACTAGAGAAAACATTCCTGAAATTCATTTAGAACCAGAACAATCCTAAAATAATAAAAACAATCATAGGCAACAAATCAAGACAGAGGACATTCCAATCCCTGATGAAATTATACAAGAAAGTTACGGTGATAAAATCAATATGTTAAGGGCAAAATAATATTAATAACAACTATTAAAAAAGAAACATTAAATCTA